AAACGACACAAGTCCTTGGCTCATGATTGGATCACATCTATTCCCATGAGCTGATATCAAGTCCTTGGCTCATGGTCAGATCACAGTTATTCCCATGAGCTGATATCAAGTCCTTGGCTCATGATCGGATCACAGTTATTCCCATGAGCTGATATCAAGTCCTTGGCTCATGGTCAGATCACAGCTATTCCCATGAGCTGATATCAAGTCCTTGGCTCATGGTCAGATCACAGCTATTCCCATGAGCTGATATCAAGTCCTTGGCTCATGATCGGATCACAGCTATTCCCATGAGCTTATGTCAGGACTTCATGATGAAAACTAATTCTAAATACATGTTTGAAGTGTGAGGACAGCTATATTGTTCAAAATGAAAGTTTGTTATTTTCTTATTTACACATTCAAGGGCAAATTTAAAGTTGAGCAAAGTGAAGAGGTCACAGAAGAAATGCTTGAAAAAATTAGACAACTTTTACATCAATTTTTTCCAAAGCAGTAAGATAGTTTTATAATATGATAAACCAAAATAGTTATTGATGTGTAGTTAAAAATTGAATTATTTAGCTATGGTTTAGAATTAACAAAAGTTACACATTATAAAACCTTTTTTTTATCTGACATGCTAATAGTAATTCTGTTATTAATAGGATATCCAAGTATTCTATATGATTTAGTAATAGGTGTATAGTATACGCATTAGCTATATGCCTGTCTTTAGTCACATTGGCTACATTAGTTGTTTTTTTTGTTATAAATGTAGGCATGTTAACAGGGACACCATATGGGATTGAAAAGCTATAATCTGAGTGACTTTTCCTTCAAAGAGTTACACCTTCACTGGTAGAATCTTCACATGAAATTAGGCCACATGGTGTGGCAACAATAACACTTTCATAGTGTTACAGTGTTTAAAATTTGTAAATGTAGCCTTTTGAGCAGTTGGTTGTAGAACATGAAACACTGTGCTATCTATAAGCAACCTTAACATTACAGAAATATATCAAGGTTATCAGGTTTGTAAGTTGGCCACATCATCCCACTCACATTCCAGAAAGTTTATCCACAATCACAAAAATATTTGACATTCAAGTATATCAAATAACAGAGCTTAATAGTGTTTTATGAGAATAAGAGAAAAACCAAAACTGCTCTTCAGGTAGTTTATAGCTTTGGTTTATCAATGACCCAGTCGACTGCTCATCAGGTAGTTTACAGCTTTGGTTTATCAATGACCCAGTCAACTGCTCCTTGGATATATTATAGCTTTGGTTTATCTCTAACCCAGTCGACTGCTCTTCAGGTAGTTTACAGCTTTGGTTTATCAATGACCCAGTCAACTGCGCTTCATGTAATTTGTATCTTTGGTTTATCACTGACCCAGTCAATTGCTCTTCAGGTAGTTTATAGCTTTGGTTTATCACTGACCCAGTCAACTGCTAAAACTGGCTCCTTTCAAATAAAACAAGTATTTTTTAGTTTTCTACATGATTGGACCAGTGATAAACTAAAGCTATAAACTATGCAAGTAGCAGTTGACTGGGTCAGTGATAAACCAAAGCTATAAACTACCTGAAGAGCAGTTGACTGGGTCAGTGATAAACCAAAGACACAAATTACATGAAGCGCAGTTGACTGGATCATTGATAAACCAAAGCTGTAAACTACCTGAAGCTTCACAGTTGAGATTAATCATTGTAAAACATATCATGTAGTCTTGACTAAAGATTTTTTTTAACCAATCAGTTTTAATGTCACTTAATAAATTTGATTTTCTTTTAATATAAAATTATTTTGTTAACTTTCCTCTAATTATTGCATCTTCAACAGCATTAATTTAGTGATGATACAATAACTGGATAGTAAAGAAAAATTACTTGGCTCATGGTTTTTATTCAAATTAGTCTTTTGAACTGCACACGTTAGTCCCATTTTTATTATTTTTCATGATGTAATATAAAAACTAAAACACTTTTTTCTTCTCAATGGTATTTGATACGGTTTCAAACAACAAAAGTTACCATCAAAGGCCAATTTTTCTGCAGGCAATTCAAGATTAATTCTGGGCCTAGTGCACTCAACTCTTAATTTGCGGGTTGTAGGTTTGAATATTTTCATCAAACATATCAGTTGTGGGGTGTTATAATGTAATGGGCAATCCCACAATTTGTTGGTAAAAGAGTAGCCTAAAAGTTTGCAGTGGGTGGTGTTGACTAGCTGCCTTCCCTCTAGTCTGTTTCTTCTAAATTAGGGACAGCTAGCACAACAAAGAAAGGATTAATCCCATAAAAATTAGGTTTTACACATATCATTAATAGTTGTTATGGGCCAATCATATGTGAGTATTAACAATTCTATATTATTTATGTGTATGGGTTAATAAGCATTGAACTGACTTAAGAACTTCGAAATTTTGGGGGAAATTTTATTGTGTTAGTCTTGTTTTAGACTGAGTTACTATTGCTATAAAATAATTTTAGATTATAACAGTCTCTCTTGTAAGGTTGATTTAAACGTGGAAGTCTTTTTACACTTTTTAATACTTTGTTGGTTAATAAAAAAAAAAAAATGTTTCCATGATAACATGTTTACAAAACTTTTTAACAACATTTTTTGGTGTGTACCTTTTTAATCTTGAAAATCACAAACAATGTTAGATCTTATGGTTTAAAGAACTTTATTCACCAAATACACCTTTACTTCCACCCATTACTGTTGCTCTGACGGCATGCTCTTAATGATGTCCGAGTCACCTGGAGACGAGGAAAACGCAAAGTTAACAACCAATTCTCATGAACACATAAAGAACATTTAACCTCCTCATGGGAATCTTTCAATGTTATCATAAATAAGCTGCTAGCTAGTTTACTTGTACGTGTTTAGATAACTATTACAATCCTACATCATACATAGACAAAACAGTACTATAAATTATATATATATATATATATATATACGTAGCTTCATGCTTACTCATTCTAAGTGTCCTGATAATCCTTTTTGTTTTATTGTAACCAGGAGCATTTACTAAATATGATGAAACTCTAATAATTTCTCTATTGAATAGAAGCAAAATGTTATCACCAAATAACTTCTCAAGTCAACAAGATCACTTAGATTTCTCAGAAGTGTTGTCTAACTAAATCAAAACACCAGTTACAACAAGTAACCTTATCTAAGCCTATGATTTTGAAAGGTATTTATTTATCAAAACAAAACACTGCTTGGTCTTACCTGGGTCTGTGATGCTCAATGCACAAACTCTGAAGTACTTCCCGCAACCAGTTCCTAACTCAATGTTATTACCAGAGTAATGATGGACTCCTGTTTTGGCCAGCATAGCATAATATTCAATTTCACTTTTCCTATTAAAGATATGAAAGTTAAGGTATTTTCAAAATACATAAAACTTCAGGTGTCTTCCTCAAACAATAGAACAAGCATACTGAAAAAAAAAAAAAGCCCATAGCTAGATTTTTAACTTAGTAATATGTAGGAGAATAGGTCAGGCTGTAAAATTATGGAGGTTAACAGTAAGCACAGTAAAGTCCACAATCGGCCCCTTAGTCCAGGAAAAGAATTGTTATTTTTAAAGGATCTCTAGGACATTTTAACTGTAATATTTAGATATTTATACAAAATTAATATTAGAATTATGTTTTTAATATTTGTATCTCCAATACTTGTGCACTAATAACAGTAGAAAAACAATTAACTCTCAAGAAAAGGATATTTAATTCCTCCATAAGGACTATCAATTTAAATCTTTAATAATTCCATGTAACTTGTATAAATTTGCATCAATGATTTCCAGCAGTATTTTCATCTTAAAACGAATACGACAACAATATGTTAATTCTAATGTGATGGCAACCTACGGAGCAGAGCCATGACTGTTTGCCATTAATCAAGGACACTTTAAGACATTTAATTTCAGGACTTGCAACAAAGGCTTTCCATGGCATATTAGAGAGTTTTCTCTTCACCCTCTAACTCAACACCTCACCCATCTACAATACTGAGAACATTTTTAGCAAAGGATTTACACGAATAGCTGTTAGTGTGTCAAGAAATTCTTACCCCTGTCCAACTGTTAATATACAATAATTAGGCTTACATTATCGTGCCAATTTTGCATTTAAAACTGCATTCTAACAAGTATGATAAATAACAGTGTGTATGTACGGCTCCAGCTGTGGTTACAGTTTAACCACAGAACAGTGTGTACATATATATAGTTCCAGCTGTGGTTACAGTTAACCACAGAACAGTATGTATGTATAGCTTCAGTTGTTACAGTTTAACCAGAAGACTGTCTGTGTATAGCTTCAGCTGTGGTTATAGTTTAATCAGAGGACAGTGTGTGTGTATGTATGTATAGCTTCAATTGTTGTTACAGTTTAACCAGAAGACTGTCTGTGTATAGCTTCAGTTGTTGTTACAGTTAAACCAGAGGACAGTATGTATGTATGTATGTATAGCTTCAGTTGTTGTTACAGTTTAACCAGAAGACTGTCTGTGTATAGCGTCAGCTGTGGTTACAGTTTAACCAGAAAACTGTCTGTGTATAGCGTCAGCTTTGGTTACAGTTAAACCAGAGAACAGTATGTATGTATGTATAGCTTCAGCTGTGGTTACAGTTAAACCAGAGGACAGTATGTATGTATAGCTTCAGTTGTTGTTACAGTTTAACCAGAAGACTGTCTGTGTATAGCGTCAGCTGTGGTTACAGTTTAACCAGAAGACTGTCTGTGTATAGCGTCGGCTGTGGTAACAGTTAAACCAGAGAACAGTATGTATGTATGTATAGCTTCAGCTGTGGTTACAGTTAAACCAGAGGACAGTATGTATGTATATATGTATGTATAGCTTCAGTTGTTGTTACAGTTTAATTTTCATACATAAAGATGCTGTGTATGTGAAGATACGCTATAAGCATTGCATCACCAGTGAAGAACACACATAGTACAACAAAATGCCCTAATACAAGGTCTAAAAAATAACATACCTGTATATACAAAAACAATTTAACTTATTTTACTAAAAAAAATACATTCACATAAACTTAACATTGCATTTTACATTTCACTGATGCTACAACAAAAAAGTATGGAATTTATCATAAAGTTATTTAAGAGAAATTTGAGCTCCAAATGAATGGGAAAAAAGAAACTTCTTGCTAATTACCACTAGCACTTAAAATACAGAAAGTCTTACACCGAGTAATGTCCTTTTCTTTCTTGTTAAAATTTTAAAAAATTAGTCCTCTCTCCATACTTCTGAATAAGAAAATAACGATTAAGTCAAAACTAATATCGTTAAATCATCTTAATACCAAACATTAATTGACTTCTTTATTATTTTCAGTCTGACCAACCTTAGTGGTGGAGTGTTGTTGGCAATTATTACCAGCTTTGCTTTTCCTTGCCTTAGTGTTTTCAAGGTTTGCTTGTAACCCAAGACATACTTCCCCGATTTCATCACCAGAGCCAGACGAGCATTTATACTTTCAATAGTCTTTTTCTGTTTGTGAAAAAAAAAAAAAATCAAATATTTATTAAAAACTTTACAGTCAATAATCTTTTATAACACTATATATACAAAATTTACTAAGTGGGTTAAACTCTTACTTTGTTGAAGCATGTTAACTGTTATATGTCATCTTACCTTGAAAAATTAGTCAAAAAAATACCATTACTAGGCAAATCTATTTTGTTTGATAGCTTAAAATTTAGGCCCAGGATCTGCTTTTGGTAGTTTTTGCTACTTGATTGATCCAGACCCTGAACGAGTAATTTTAAGTTAAGTGTTATAAACATTTTAGTACTCGGAAAATGTGATATTGCAATATGATACAACCCACTTCTTAGCCATGAATCTATTGACATTTAAACAAAAATGAATCGGTTGTTTCTGGTAGTTTCAAATATATTCATTTGTTCAGTACTGCCACAAAAAACAAAAGTATAAAAGATAGTACAAAGATGCTTTCCCATGTTTTTATTATCACAAAAATTGTGAAACATTTTGAGTTTTCACCAATAACACTAGACTAGAAGGGTCAACAAAATAAATACTTATTGGTGCTGAATTAGAAGACAACAGGAAGAGAAGACATAAACAGAAAAAACAAACAAGAAGAGTCAGTTTCAGTTAAGAACTTTATTTTTCTAACAGGCTGATTAGAATTGCTAAAATGAAAGGTATACGGCACAAAATTACCTTTTCTATAACCTACAAGCAAGATAAAGAGATCTGCAGATGATTTGAATATCATCAGTTTTAAAGTTGTTATGAAAAGGCATTCTTTTTTTCTATTTGGAACTGAATACGTGTACATCAATAACTTTCATTGCATCCACATATGGTAACATTATAGGTTGTAGCCCACAACTCTGGCACAAAATAAGGAGCCACTACCTTCGAACCCCAAGCGGTAGTGACAGAAACAAGAAGATTTGTGTCATTTTCTCTTTAAAGTGAAAGTTTAAATGGTGATTGCTTGTTGATGGTATTTACGGTGAGGAAATGAGCAATTTAATTGTTTGCAAAAAATGTAAGAAACCCTGATAGCTGCATGATCAACAATGAGAACCCAAAAGTGTGGACTGTACTTCACAAAAAGATATCTAAAGTTAAATATAATTGGTTGGAATTAAATAGTGAAAAAAAATTGACTTGATTAGTGCTATTATAAACTTCCCAGTGTCAAATTACATCAAATAATATATTTTAAAAAGTATGTTTAATGAGGTTTTGCAAACATTAAGTTAGGAAGTAATGAGACTGACAATACAAAAGCTTTTACTAAAGGGCCAAATATTTTTATCTATGTATTTTATATCGTTTTTCAAATACTCTTAATGAAAAACAAATTTTAAGAACCAGAAAAGGTTTGTATTTGCAGATATGTCTAGAATTGAATATTAATCAGTCTCATTTATCTTTACTGCTAAGTTATAACTGGATTTTTCTGTGTGTCGGAGGATGGTAAGCGAATAACCAAAAGTTAGTATTCATTATTATGAACAGTGTTAGGAGGACAATGAATGGGGATTATGATTCTGTATCGTTTTTGTGATTATAAGACAGAATTTTATATCTAGAAGTTTTAATTGTAAATTTATTTATGTAAATGTACCTAGTGTTATATATTAATAGTAAAACTTGATGATAGTTTTCTATTTAAAAATGCGTATAAAAATTTAAATCTTTAATGTTATTTAAAATAATTGTGCTTTAATGTTAGCGAAGTTTAGTTACAAGGTCCTGGTAGTAACGTCGGTGATACGTTACCACGCTGTTTTGTATTATGCCTAGTTAGGCTTAACAATTACTAGGTAACATAACGGCATAAGGTTTAAACTCGGTAATAGAGATGTATCGTAAAGCCTGGCTAAGGGTGGACACGTTTACTTACTTGTTTTTTCTGAGCGACCATCTTGATTATTCCACAAGTTTTAAACCGTTTAGCCCTAAAAAAAAGTTAAAATATGTGTAGTTAAAAAGGTATGAAATATATTATACAAGAAACATTGAAATACTACAAACAAATGTACCAACACTTTTCACAACCTACCGTTCAACATGAAATATGCCTTAAAAAAGGACAAATAATACTCATTTGTGAGTGTAGGTGGCGTTTTATTTAGTATAGTAGTTTGAGAATAGCGTCTAAGATGTTTTTGTGATAAAATGATCGACGTTTGTAGCGTAACAAATGTTAAAGTAAAAATAATATTTAATTAACGTTCATTAAAAACTTCTTGTCAGAAAATAAATTATTGGTCAGTGAAAAAATGTATGTTGAAATAAATAGTGAACAACTTGTAGATAAATCCAACTAATTAGAAAAATTGGTTGATAGGGTTTTTTGACAGAATTTGGGTAACGCAGAACACAGTGGGCAGTACTACTGGAAAAACAAAATGTTCATATACTTAAGTAAAAAGGTAAATATGTATGACATTTCATTACATTCGTGCATTTGATTTTAAATTAGATGTGGGGATAGTCATCTAAGACTTCAAATTTTCATGACATGACCTTCTGTTTTCAAAGATTGAATTTAGAGCTTGTGCATTTCGATAGTCAATAAACCTTATTAATTGTAAAATGTAATTCTATTTGAAAATAGATAGCCATCCCAAACAACACCTTTATTCACTGTCTAGCATGGAACAAAGAGCAAGGGTATATTGCATGTGGTGGAGAAGAAGGTTTGCTGAAAGTATTGAAACTTGAGATGGGTAAGTTATGCTTGAATATTTAATATTTATTAATTCTGTAAGTAACTGAACATCAGCTCAAGTAAAGGTTTGTGTTTTAATTGTGGTTCCTAAAGGTAGAAATTAACATAAGCAAAGAGGTGACAGGCTAGAATGAAGTTTCCAGTGTGTGTTATGCAGTTTAGTTTTAAACTGGTTATTTTAGGTGATATAAACGATAAACAAATGCCAGTCATAACTCCATAAAGATTTAAATTTTAACCAGAGATGAGCATATAGAAAGCTGGCTTGCCAACCATCTCCAGGTGGACATATTAACTGCTGCATACATGATAAAATACCTCATTCACTTGTTGCCAGGTGGACATATTAACTGCTATATTCATGATAGAATACTTCATTCACTTGTTGCCAGGTGGACATGTTAACTGCTATATACATGATAGAATACTTCATTCACTTGTTGCCAGGTGGACATGTTAACTGCTATATACATGATAGAATACTTCATTCACTTGTTGCCAGGTGGACATATTAACTGCTATATTCATGATACAATACTTCATTTACTTGTTGCCAGGTGGACATGTTAACTACTGAATATATGGTTACAGACTCCCCATATAGCTACAGGCTATAAATATAAATATGTATAAATATAATAAGTATATATATTTTATAAGCATATACATGTGGTACATTGATCACCATGTATCATAGTGATCATACATGCAGTACCAACATCAATGATAACATTGTGGCAATAGCCATTCAATGTGTATGAAGCCAATCCAAAAGTTGTGGTTGTTTCGTGACAGAGTATAATATAACAACTACATATTTACTATTATACACATTTATGTCCATGCTATTAGCTTTTTTTGTATGTTTTAGTATATGTACTTCACGAGAGAGTGAATCGTTTTCTACCTTTTAAACAAATCTTTCTAAACTATTCACCTACCAAATTGCTTGTTGGTTTATAACATTGGTTACAGGATGTTTAATTGCATGCAAGTGAAAAGAAAAACATCATCAATTTGGCAACCAATCCTACTAATCACTGCATCATTAGGATTCCTATATATTTTATACATAAAATAAGTAATTTTACTTTTTGTTTGGCAGTTCTTTGCACTGAGTTTTAGTTGTAACAGGCAAGATCATTAAAATGAATATTTAATGCAGTAGGTGGACCATATCAGTAGAGAACAATATAAAAATGTCATTGTTAATCAATACACTATTGTCTACTTGGTAACAGAGCTCTTTTTACATGTGTTCCACATATGTAAAAATTTATGAATGTTTAATTAAATGTTTTCACCTACAAATCTAGGTATTAGATAAAAGGAGTTTGTAGATTTCACATAAAACTGATGGTCTTACTTATTTAAAAATTTCTATAATATTTTCTGAAAAAAAGGAAACTTTAATTTTTTGCCTGTGGCTACCCATGCCCAGTTAATACTTTTATTGCATAACCAAAAGTTTATACTTTTTGTTGTTTATCTTAAAACTGACAGGGAGTGATGGAAAGGTTCGAGGGTTAGCTGCTCCTAGCAACTTGTCAATGAACCAGACCCTTGAAGGTCATGGAGGTAACTCTTTCAACTTTCACCTTTTTTTAGAACTAGACCTGTTAATAGACGACTTGCCATTAGTTTAGCTTAAACCAGACTTGTATAAAGTGCAGCTAAAATTAAGTGAATATTTTCTTGATAAGTATATTAAAGTAATAAAAACCTTTTCACTTGTGTAAATATGTAAATCTTGTTTTTAACCATTTTATATAGTTCTCATGTATGTAACAATGATTAATGTTTATGTTTGATACAGTGAAAAAATACATTATTATTAAAAGTTGTTATAGTTTTCCCCAAAAATTTATTTCTTTTTTTACAGATAAATAATGTATGTGATTAAAGGGCAAATATAGTTAGTTTATGTTTCCTGTTTCTCGACTGATCCTGTAACAAAGTAGGTGACTGGTTTATGTAGAGAACACATTGAAAACATTCTGACCAATAGTTTTGCTGATTACACAGCAGGGCATGATGCATTTCAGCTGAGGTTTTAAAAACTGTGGTGCACAAAACAAAAAAGCAGTAAGGTCCATAGTACATATATCATCAACATCAGAAACATATGCCAACCTGTTTGAAGATGCTGTTAAAAGGAGTAGACAACTGTGAGAACACAAATAGTGAAAAAAAGAAACTTAGTTTGCCAGCAGACAGGCTGACCTCCCTGTGGTTGATGTTTAATTTCTATGAGCTTATCATGTGATCACACACTAAGTATATGCTTTTCTTGCTGGAGCCAGTTGCAGGTAAAAGGCATAATATGTCATAAAACAATGAGGAATAATGTGATCACACACTAAGTATATGCTTTTATTGCTGGAGCCAGTTGCAGGTAAAAGGCATAATATGTCATAAAACAATGAGGAATAATGTGATCACACACTAAGTATATGCTTTTCTTGCTGGAGCCAGTGGCAGGTAAAAGGCATAATATGTGATAAAACAATGAGGAATATGAAAACCTATTTTAAGGTTGTATTTTCATGTTAGAAAGTAGACCTTTGATCATTTATTACTTCTGTATGGACATGTAAGAAGCCAAATTTGATAGACTATTGTATGAAAAGAGAGCATAGGGACATGGAAGGCCTGTCGATAGTGGTACCTTGCAGAAAGTCAAGCAACGTTTAGTGAAGAAATTCAACAGGCAAAACTTCTTCAGGACTATCTGACAATTGTTTGGATAAATAAAGTCTCCTGGAGCATCTTGACAGATTAACTATATAAAATGTTGCTCTTTTCTTCTCATTTACCAACTCGGTTTCTTTAGTTGAGAAATAAAACATTAACTAAATTTGTCCCAACTGACAAACCAAATCATCCTATGTACAAATTTATGATTTCTATTTGAAAGTTTTATTGTATACATAGGTACATTTTATTAAAACTTGCATTGTAGCACATCTCTAATCCAAGTTTTATTTAGTTAGATACACCATGCTTGTTTTTCAACACACACAGGTACACGTCGATCATGTTTTGTTACAGTTGTTTGTTTTTGACAGGCACTGTTCAAGTTGTGACTTGGAATGAATCATACCAGAAATTGACATCTAGTGACCAGAATGGATTAATCATTGTTTGGATGCTGTACAAAGGTAAGTACAACCTTAAAAAACTGGTTCTTTTTAATTTATAGTAAACTAGAAAAGCTATAACACATTTTTAAAGCAGTGAAAAATTCAAACCCAAACAATAGATTACTTAATAAAAATAAATATGAATGGATAACACAGGCCTGAAATGGTTTTATTGTCTTGAAATATTTACATATTCAATAGCAATTCCTGTACACTGAATCCAAAAATATCCATTTTTCTCCATGACATAGAGATTTTTCACAAAATGTCATATGTACTTTTATCTAAGTGAATCATTTTCATTCAAATCAGGTCACATTTTTTTATGCTTAAAATGATGATAACCACTGGCTATTGATTTCTCTAGACCAATCGCGATGTGAGAATCTTATCGATTGTTCTAGAACCCACAAGAAACATGCCGCTAATATAGAAATGGTTAACAGGTCACATGACTTGTCATTTCTGTATAGTATTTGTTTGTGCATGCACTTTGACATTATTATTATTTTTTTCGATATTAGTTATTCGTTGCTGTGGCAACAAGAAGTTTTGTAAATGACTCAAAAATATCCTGTTATATTTGTGGTAAATTTTTGTAATGAAACAAAGGCAAAACATTATGGGATTCGTCAAACAAATATATTACTCTTATTTTGGAATAAAACTTGGAGACTAAGACAAATCATGGGCTTCACACAAAGTTTGCATCATTTGTGTGAAAGAGTTGAGACAATAGACTATAGGTAAGAAAAAGTCTGCCTTTTGGAATTCCAATGGTCTGGCATTAGCCTAGAAACCATGGAGATGACTGGTATTCTTGCTTATGTAATGTGCAAGGCTACAACACTTGAGATAAAAAGGAAATTTCTTATCCGAACCTTCAATCTGCTATAAAACCTGTTGCTTGTGGACCTGTACCTACTCCACTGGAGACTCTTGATACAGTTCCATCTGATGTCAATAGAAATGATGATAGGGATTTTTTTTCACCTAAAACGTCTGGAAAGGTTTCATGGAGAGGACGTATCAGGGAAGGTGGAACATCAGCATGATGGCTGATTACTGCTGGTCATTGAAACGAGATGCTCCAGACCCAATACATAAAAGAAAGACCACAACACATAGCTTTGAGACTAAAAGACACAGATTTCACAATAAAAATCAGGATGAATGAGGATGCATATTTGTTTGACATCAATATTATTC